GATGCACAATACAGCTTTAGAATTTTAAACGAGGCTACTCATGACTGGAGGAATTTCCGAAGCTAAACCGAACACATAGGATTGGTTCTCGTTCCATATTTCCCAGAACAGAAGAGGATCAGTTCGCTGCTTGTGCTGTATGTTCTTTGTGGTTAGCAGCTGTTATGAATTAATATGCTGTTCTCTATGAATAGTCAATTGAGACCTCAATATGACCGTAATCATTGGTACGGCATCTGAAAAAGAGCATAAACCTCCAAGCAGACCGCTAAGGCAATTTATTACATTATATTAAACAGGCTCTCTGAAAATAAAAAATTTGAATTCACATACAAATGGAAGAATTGGAGCTTCCGTCCATATGATATTACGTAGAAAGTACTTAAAGAGGTTTTTGATTTGGCGTCTGCCCTTTGAACAGAGAATGACGACTCATTAGGAAGATAGACTAATATTCTGATGCAATCATGGTACAGGTATTGAAGGCAATGTTATTCTTCGGAAACGCGATAGTTATAATCTGCCAAATGCGAGCTAATGCATTTGCCCAACTTGTACATAATGTTCTCAAGAATCTGAACAGAAGGCACCATTTGTCATCTTGTGAAGTACAACTTAAATTGTAAATAATAAAATAATGCATTAAGTTAACGAAGTTTCACAAAGTTGAGATGTCGAACCCTGATGTACTGTGATAAAATTTTGAGCATAGGCATGGGTTGCTAAAATCTGAGGTCACTTTAAATTTGCTTGGCGAATTAGTCATTTGAACAATGACACGAACGCAACACGAAGCAATTTATTTTCTGTATGCTACACAACAGAGGCTAGCGTGAAATTCATTTCCAAATCATGGTAAACACCACTTAAAGCGACTCGTTGCAAAGTACCATTTTACGCTGGTAAGCAAGAAGTGTATGAAAAGCAATTCTACGGCAAGAAGCGTTTCCAAGCGATTGGATGGGAAGCAGCGATACGATTAAATCACTGCCGCTGCTTCCTGAAAGTACGCTTGGGACAAGGGCAGTACTGGGCGTCTTTGCCCGGTCCGCCAGGTGGACCCTGTGGTCCCTGTACTCCGTCAACACCGTCATCTCCCGGCGGTCCCTGTTCTCCCTGAGGTCCCGGTTCACCCATCTGGCCATTTTTGCCAGGTTTACCAGACGATCCTGTCGGACCTTTCTGACCTTCGGGGCCGCGTTGACCTTGGGGACCAACTGGGCCTTTGATTCCCCTGATACCATCTTTTCCTGGAATACCTTTAGGTCCTCGTTCACCAATGGGACCTTTCTCGCCTGGCGGTCCTTCGGGTCCACGAGGTCCAGTTTTGCCGTCTTTGCCGTCTGGGCCAGGATTTCCTGGTGGACCAGGTGGTCCCTAAACGTTCACAATTAAAATTTCGAGCGAGAACGAAATCCTGTTAACCATTACCTGTGGTCCTCTAGCACCCTTGTTGCCTGGCGGCCCCTTAGGTCCAGGCGGACAAACACGGCATGATTCCGGTTCTTTCGCGACGATGCTTGGTGCAACTCCTGGTCTACCCTTTTCGCCTTTGGGTCCTCGCTTTCCGGGCGGACCGTCTTCGCCCGGTTCGCCTCTAGGTCCTGGTGGCCCAGGAGGACAAGGGTTTTCGTCGTAACATTCACAAAATCCGCGTTCGACCTGTCTCGTTTTCCTCACCCTCATTGGGTTTTCGCTGTGCAGTATTGACAATTCAGACCACGCCTCATCGCTCACTTCCTGAAACAGTGCAATGAAGGAAGTGCGCCCAGTATACAGTAGCCTCAGCCTACTTTGAAACGAATGACTCTCTCTTCCAAACTATCCTGAATTCTCGACCCTTTCTGGAATATCATCGGAATGGTCACCAAAGTAACCAAAATCGACAGGATGCTCAGCAGTATGGACGCGGAAGCCGCGAAGTCGGTCTGAGTTGCCATCTTCCGGAGCTGTACCTGGCAAACAGTCGGCGAATGCTTGCAGGGCTTTGAGGCTCGGCTTATATGTCAGGGTTTCGCCCTAGTTCGAATGCCGATCGACCCTTCAGGCAGCGATGCGTTTTTTGTAAATTCGCTTTTTTTCTTGTGACCCATTCTCGTCGATGCAGGCCACTTCGGCGACCCTTTCGCTAAAGCGGTGCATTTGTTTTTGTATGGCCAAAGAAAGGTCCAACCCTTCGAGGTTCACTGGTTAAAGTGTAGGATTTTGGTCTGACCGTTTGTCTGTCTGAGGAATGCTATTGTTTTTACTCAAACGACCACGCCCACCTTCGTACAAGTTTACACTTACCTCGTCAAGAGCCGAAACTGTGCCTCTAGATTTCTAGAACACCTTCGCAAGAAGTCAGTCGATCCCACGCGTTGGTCGGCACAGCTACGATTCCGGTCTGGTTCACGCTGCACGCGTTCAGAACACGGGGTGCAGATTTGCACAAAATAATTCTGCGGTCATTATGCCTCGAAAAGTGTGTTAGTGGTCCGTTGGGCACATGACGACGGATCGCTTCCGTTGTTATCTTGCCCCCATTGCATACAACGATCATCAAGACAGTTGTATCGTAACATTGAGAAATGACGGCCAAAAGTTCCACTGCTGTTAGTTTTTTGACTCTCAGGCATTTCTGTGGAGACACGTCATGTTTGAGTTTCGGTGTCAAAGCGTTTTGCATTTGTTTCTTAACACCATCCAACCTCAAATGACCAGCTTATAATATCCGTTACAGGACTTGTCTTTATTTTGAATGGCCTGTGAATACCCACCGGCGATCCTCAGGCATACGCGGTTGTCCGCTTTCTGCTTCAATCGCTGGCCAAGTAACCAACGGACCATCGGACTGTCCGAGCGAGCTCTTCGACAACTGATTGAAAGCTTGTGGTAATTACGTAATTCTTGACGTCCACTGGTTGTCTCCCAGGTGAATGACATCTTCCTTGAGTCTGCCACATCACGATCAATCCGTTTTCGAATTTGTGAGTTCGCAACGTGATTCCGGAGCGAGGTATTCATAACATTAGTGCTATTATGATGCAGAAAGTTCAGTTGATTCTAAGCTGCGAACTCGTCACTCTTCTAACTTTCCGATTCAATGGTTTCTGGCGAAAGGCAGGGGTTGATATTACGTTACGGACTTCAGTTATGTGGCCAAAAGTAGACAACGGTGTCGCTGAGGTTTCTTAAAAATTTTTCTTCACATTCATCTTTGATAATTTTGAGATCTTTGCTTGTCTCTTTCTTCTGCTTGGTTGTGCTAAATCATTCTCTCTGGCACCGGCGTTCTTCCACTATGAGATTTCTGTTGTGATCCAAGACTTCTGGTGACATACACTAAGCCAAATGAATAAATGGGACTTCTTCACCAAACCTTACCTATGATTCTGCGGTCTCTTGAACTTCAGGCGGCCAAGGCGACTTCACGAAGTTGTACTGCTTGAGTACAATGTTCAGATCGACCTTAGACACAATACTTCGAAACTTCACTCTGCTTACTAACGTTAGGTAAGATTACGTAGATCTCATATTATTAGACGAGCAACGGACTCGTTGTTTCGATAGGTTTGGCAGACATTCATTTAGCATCTTCAGCGGTTTTTTCATGCAAGGACCAAATTCAGCTTGATATTTAATCAATTTTACTTTTCGATACCGCATTGAAGCAGCGTATACACCGGTCCCTTGCTTCTAGTCGCCTAGGAGACCATATGAGCATGTCACGGCTCCATGGTATGTGAGCACTTGAGCACCTGCCTGCACAGATGCAGAACCGCATCATCTTCAGGTGTATGTACAGGTTCTTGTTCGCCCCTGCCTAGCGATGCGGTTCAGCATCCGTGCACTGCCGGTTCTCAAATACCATAGAGCCGTGGCCTGCTTATAGTCCCCTAGGCGACTAGAAGCAAGGGAGCGGTGTATACATTGCTTCCATCCGGTATCGAAATTTAAAAAGGATAAAATATCTAAACGGCGGTATCGATAGTTAGCAGTATGCTAGTAAACCCATAAGATCGGGTTGTATTTTTGGTGTGTTAATTTGATATTATTGAGTTCTTTGCGAAGGTCACTTTCATTGGGGGAATCTCCGTTTTCTTTAAAGAAGCACACTCTCATTTAAGCTTTCTGAATGGTTAAAACAGTGACGCTGATACCGTTGTCATCTCCCACATAAAGAACTCGTGCACTTGCTTTAAAATATCTAAAGTTTTACAGGAAAATATGGCATAGCAAGCTTATTTTATGCAAAATTTCCGCTGCTTCGGATTATACATGATTCTTTTTCAGGGGATCAAATGAGCAAGCCAAACTGAACCGATTAATTTAGGTCAATTTGCTGTCGCGCTTCCTGCAAAACTATAACTAATTTGCTAATCACGGTAAAACGGGCATTAAACCCTTACATTAGGGGCGCGGTGACCTAAACTATATAACAGAAAACTCGTTAGTTTCAAGCAAGGGGCTCAAAACTAAAATCTTCTTCTAATCCCATTAAATCGAAGACGGCACCCAATCGCTGTGAAAATTTAACTTGTCTCCTTTCACCAACCAGTGTGCTCCAAGGGTAAGAAATTTTGTATGTAGCCTTTCGCCGTTCGTGCAGCGCCACATCCCGCTGGAGACTTCTGCCATTTTGAATTAACTTTCTGTATAAAAAATACAAATTACTGGCTGCCTATCGAAAACAAACACCAGTGCAGCTAAAACGGGATTCATATTGATGTTTCAATAAATTGGTTGTATATACGGCAATCGATTGCTTTCGTGCTAGTTGCTTCTGGAGCATTGTTTATGTTTCCTTCAGACATTTGCATCTTTCAATGATTTTAGGACTCCAGGCGGTGCACACGGAAAGCGAAATTAGCTGCCTGAGCATCTACCTTTGAAAAGACAAATTTAATGAAATTTTACGTGTGTTTTACGACTGTCTGTGAAATGTCTTTGACATCTCCAGCGTTTGTCTGGTACCGAGAAATACAAGAAATAGTTCAAACGTTACACAGGTCCGAAACACCTTAAGAATCTCGGTCATGCTTTGGAAACTGGCACGTCGTAATCAGCATGAATTCGATGCAAAAACTTTATGGCGTCAAGTACCGTACTTCGACTTCGTTGAGTCAACACTTGGTTATGAGGACGCATTCACGAATGTCGAATCTAGCACAGCACACTTGCCACATGTTGCTGAACATACTAAATACTGGTTCTCCGCCTTAGTCGATCATTTTCAACTAAATTGCAGTTCTTTTGGCAGAGTCAGACCAAGTGTATGATTATATGCCTGCCGAGTGATCGCTATGCAAAGTATTCCTTGATTCCTTATCGTATTCCCGAATTTTATCGTCTGATTTTGAGAAGAAACTCTGGCTGCAGTCCAGTTTGCCAGTTTCCAGATGGCTTGCTCAGAAAATCTGCATGATGTAATGATGTAATGTATGCATATGCACATCACGCATGCGTAATATGTAGTTCATAAACAAATTATAAAAGCATAATGATGTTATACAATAAAATACTCTTCTAGTCAGAAGATGGAAAATCCTTGAAATATTCCATGACACTCTTGGTCAGAATAAGTAGGGGAGACGTCGCCCAAGCTTTCGGTAAGCTTTACGAGTCAAAATGCATTTGCTTTTTATAGGCATACCTTGAATAAACAGAAATGTATATTAGTTCTTTGATTCAATTGCGTTTTTATCGTTTTCGGGTTCAT